TTTTTGTTTATTGAAAGTGTCTGTCTGCATTCTTCTTTTTATTATGTCTCTGGCTTCAGACCACAGTTCCTCTGGTTCTTGGTCTATTATGCTTACTAGTGCAAATCTGTTTCTTATGTCATCAATAAATTCTGTTGAGATATTATTCAGATCATATTTTGGTATGATCACTGGTTTTGTTTTCTTCTTGAGTCTTTTTGATATGATAATTCATGATGTGTGCTACAGTCGGTGCCCAGTCTAGTCTTGGCAACCAGTATAGAGTTCTGCCATTTTATAGAGCAGGGGTAGGCAACCTTTCCCCTTTAAGGGCTGAGGGACTTCAGCTCCCAGAGTCCCAGGAGCTATTGACCAACATGGGACTATTGGCCAACATGGCTGAGGCTTTTGGGAGCTGAAGTCCCTCGGCCCTTAAAAGGGAAAGGTTGCCTACCCCTATTATAGAGTCACAAATTCATGATAAACCATAATCTGCTCCCTACAAGTCTATTTTTGGCTGAAAAGTTGGAGAGGGTGCTGAGGGGTTTGGGGTTGGAGAGGACTCAGGCATCAAGGGATGTACTGGATTTCTCAGAAGGTTGCCTTCTCAGGGGGCAGTTTGTTACACTTGGTTATGTGTCATTGTGGGGAAAGAGACCTGTGGCTACTGCCATCTTAACAGCCACCTGCCATCCACCAGATAATAACAGCATGCCTGGAACAAGTTTCTGAACTGGCAGAAATGCAGCTTTGCTGTCTCTTAACCTTTAGCAGAAGTTGGTGAAGTCAAGGACATGTGTGTAAATGCTTTAATTGTTTGCCTTTGCAATGAAAGCACAGAAAACACTACTCTACCTTAGTTCAGAATGGGTACATACTGTCCTGCTCAGATGATATTTCATTGTACTGTGCTGGTGAAGGCGGGCAGAGACAGGTACAATGGTACTGTATGCTCAAAGACCCTGGTGAGGCCAAGCACACTTACACTATACATTCACTTAAACTGGAGAATGGACTGCTACCATTCTTGATGGGTTCTGTTCTGAAAGAAACAGATGTGTGGCTACTCACAGCCCATACAGCCACCTCTGTCCTCCAGGAAGGAACTAAGAATTTGGCCCCAGGGGTTTCAGAATTGTGTTACAGGGTATAAACCTACCTCATAGCTAGATCTTTGAAAGGCCCTGTGTGAACCTACTCAAGCTTTAAGTTTCTCCCAGGCCAACTCCCATTTCAGTATCACCAGTAGTAGTAGTATTCAGCCAGGTTGAACTGACCTGAATTCAGGGTGACCAGACATCCTGCTTTACCAGGATATGTCCTACATTTCAGCCTTCTGTCAAGGAAGAATTTCAAAATGTCCTGCATGATTAAGAAACATTAATTTATATTTATATTAGCGTTTTATCTTTTATCTTATAATATCTTACATTTTTCTTGAATGTCTTATATTTTGCAATCCCTTATCCTCCTTTGTGGTTACGACATCTGGTCACCCTGCCCAAGTTGGTTCAGGCACCTGGGAAAAATGGTACAACCTGTTCTAAGTGGAGCTGCATTCATCCCATAGTAGCAAACTTTGCACCCATTCTGAAACAAAGCTGTCACCAATTATTTATGCCCTAGTAACTAATTACTTCCTAGCACAACTACTTCAGTGATCACAACATGTGGCTGTCTTTTTTTTAAAAAAAGTTTGTGAAATGTCATTGCTCCAATACATGGCTGCCAGTGTATAATCTGGAGCCAATAAATGGTCTAAGTAGTTGAGTATTCTTCCTAGTACATTGGATACGCATTTGTTTTCCAGATCTGTTTAAAATCCTCAGTCACTTAAGACTGGGTTTCCTCAAGAATCAATTTCTTTGATGCAAAACTCCCTAAGTTTTAGCTACAAATGCCTTTGTTTTGTGTTGCATTGTCATATGAGACTGGATAAATGAATATGTGAGTCAGGGCCTGTTTCATGGTGTGCTAAACCTCTGGAACAATATCCCTTAGAAAATCTTCCATATTCCTGTTTTCAGGTTTGTATGGAGGAAAACAAAAGTTCAGTATTTAACAATTGGCTCCATTTGGATTTTACTCTGCTTTTAACTGACAAGGTATTTTAATGCTGTGACTTTGTTATTTTTAGTTCTGTCATGTATTTTTTTCGGGCATTTTGCAATGATTTTTTTAAATCTTAAAACAACTTCAAGAATATCTTAGGGCTTCTACAGATGGCGCTTTGCACCGTCTTGGAGGCAGGGAAGGGGAGGGACAGCTGGCCGCTGGCTGCCCCAGCCCTTTCCCAAGGACATCATCGAAGCGCCAGTCATTGCACACGGCGATGCTCCGATGACGTCCTTCCATTGCAGCATCTGGACATGCTGCAACGGAAAAGATGCCGAAGAGGCGCACGCCACCTCTTCCAGTGCCCTTTCCATGCCTTGAGGAAGGAGTGCTATTTTAGAGCTCCTTCCAGGGCCAGAAAAAGAGTGGATTGGGGCCAAGGTGTGGGGCAGCCTCAGCCCCAATCCACCACTTCTCAGGGCGGCCCACAGCCGCCTGTCTGCATCACAGGCGGCTGTAGACTACAAATCTCCTCCATCTCCTCCCCCAACTTCTTGTAGTGTACAGCTGCAGGAGACTGTTCAGAGTCAGTTGATATTGGTCCTCTGAAGTCAACACTTCATTCTGGAGCAGTGCCCTCCATATAAGTTGGCTGGGAGATGATGGAGATGTAGCTCAACATAAGAACAGGGCACAGGTTTGCGAATGACTATCCAAGGGTATGCCTCCAAGATTTTCTACAATGCACAAAACCCCCTGAGGGCTTCCTCAGCCAATAAAGATTCCTTGAAGATAATAAGTTTGAAAACCTATCATGTTCCCTATTTAAGCCATTCCTTAGTTAGCAAGTAAGATGATCTGCTCATTTCCTTCTTATTTGTTGTTTGTTTATTGTTGTATACCTTCAGGCTCTTTCTGACTTATGGCGACCCTAAAGAAAATCTATAATGGGGTTTTCTTGGCAGGTTTCTTCAGAGGGGATTTGCCATTGCCATCCTCTGAGGATAAGAGAGTGTGACTCACCCATGTCACCGAGTGAGTGGGTTTCATGGCCGAGCTGGGATTCGAACCCTCTCTCCAGAGTCTAGTCCAACATTCAAACCACTGCACCACTCTGACCTTCCTATAGCATTCCATAAAAATATCACTGGGGCAAACAGTAGCAATAACTGGGCATGATAGATCCTGGCCTCTCCTAGCAGACTGGACCATATGACTTTCACCTTCCATCCAGGGATACAAGTCTATGACCTGCTAATGTCTAAAGATCATGTTCATTGTGGATTTTCACTTGGCCAGCTAGATTTGGATTTAGTCTCTCATTGTCCAGCACACAATGTTCAGCCTTCTACCATCCTGTGCTTCCAAAAACACAGCTTTTCTTGTTTTGAAAATCAGCTTGGCCTGGAATCCAACAAGATGCAATTGCATCCAGGATGTGAAGAATCCCTGAGCCCTGGCAGAGCTGCTTCTTGCTTGGCGAAAGCCCGTTGCCATGGCTACGCTTGGGTGCAAAGATTTTCTCATCAAAGTGCTTGCCTCTGCTGCCAAAGTCACTCCTGTGTGCTCAGCAGAGATGGCAGGCAAGGGGCAGGCTTGGGACGGCTGCTTGGCAGGAATGCGGCAGCATCAGCATCAAATAATAGCATAAAAATAGCCTTGCAGCTTGAATTGGAAGTAGGTGAAGGAGAAGAGGGTGAGGGTGGAGGAGGGGAGGAAAATATGTATGTGTGTGTGGGGGGGGGCGAGTTATCCCATCAGGTGCTTGATGGATCTGTCAGATGTAAAGGGGCTATTTTCTGCTTGAGAACAATTGAGCTGGGTAGGGTGGCAAAGCTGCATTGGACGGGCATCTGAGCTAGAAAACTGGCTCTCTCTCCTCCCTCCTGCCTCTGTGCTGCCCTTCCAGATGAATCAATCTTCTGATGAAGCAAGTCAATTTCCCTGTTTCCTCACCCCTAAAATGGGAATATTGGCCTTTTCCCCAGGTGTGCCAAGCATTTTGCAATTTATCAGATAAAACTGCCATAGATGTTATGAGCTTTATTGTTAGTTGCACTTGCTCTGGGGTGGCTGTGCACTAGAAAAGAGTAAAGATTTTGATTCTTGGAAGAAGAAGAAAGAACCCAGTTCTCTACAATTAGTTTAGGACAAGGTGCTCACTGAAATTAACACGGTTTCAATTTCACATGGAGCCAATCACATTCTCTAGTCTCAGCCAGTTCACACATTCAGAGAATCAGCAAAAGAAATGGGGTGTCTAGTGTGCTGTCTTTTCTAGTTCCAGTAGGATATGGGGCTCAGAGATTTCTCCTTTAGTGAGATACAGGGTTCCAGATCGCCATTAAAAGTGTCCTGTGTGGTACCCATTTCCACAATATGCTGAACGTAATCTTTTAAAGTATACTTCACTCGCCTTCAGTGGTGGCTAGTGGCTTCTGTATCCATGGGATTAAAACCAGGTTCTAATCTGTATTTTAAAGCACTGAGCACTTTCCTCCAAATAGGCTCAACACAATGGATAGCTACATAAAAACAATTACTGGTCCCCCACATCAGATAACTTGAGGAGTACTGATCTTTCTTGCTTCACTGCTTCTTTAAATGTTTCCAATATATTTAAAACCTAAGACCTTAT